GGACCCAAGTGCCCGTGTGGGGAGTGACACTCCAGCCCCGTGGCACAGAGGGAACTGGCCTGATGCTATCATGCTTGTCAGGCTTGCTCACATTTAGCAGATTACTTTAGAATTTGCATTCTGGCAATGGGAGTTGAAACAGCAACCATAAACTTGATCAGCCTCATGTATAAGGTGATTTACATAATTTCCTATTTTCATGGGGCTCCTGTTTAATTTTTCCACCCCTTGTATGATCAAATATACCTACTTCCAGATGAAACATATTTCAAGTTTAGAGGATTAACCTGCCTGCAAGAAGTGACAATGTTAACAGCTTGTTATCTCCAAAACACAATTCCAGGATCCCTGCAAGCTGGAGAAACTCAGCTGTCTCCATCCCTCAGGGAATGGCATCACTTCCAGGGCTTTGAGAAAGAAGTTGCATATCCAGGACTCCCTTTTCTCCCCCTCTTCTAGTGCCTGGGCCACTTAAATAGGGCTGATGTAGCTCACAGAAAGCTGCCGTGTGTCCAGGCAGAGTAGCCAGGTTTGATGTCCAAGGCTCCCACAGGGGTGCAGCATTGCACCTTCTGCCCGGGGAACGGAGCCGGTGCTGCCGGCGCTGCAGCTCCCTCTCCCCGGGCAGGGATGGGCTCGCAGCTGCATCCCAAGGAAAGCAGCTGCTGGGAAAGGATCAGCTTTGTAGCCAGTCTGAATAAGCCTGGTCCCTAGGAGCAACGCACACCGAATTATTGGAGTGGGAACTGGGGTATCGTGGGCTCTGTGGCTCTTTGGAGGGCATGGAAAAGAGATGGCATCCCTGCCTGCCTCAGTTTCCCCACACCAAGTACCAGGATGGCAGTGTTGGCAGTGCAAGAACAAGGACATGCCAATGTTAATTAATATCAGTTTGCAAAGTGAGCTCTCAGACAGCAGATTCATGTCCAGCGTCCTGCTCGGGAATTCACCCCTCTGCCCGCAGATGGATCCAGGGACCTACCACCAGCATGACTCAAGGGAGCATCTGGCTCATGGCTTGCTGAAGCAGAGGGAATTCTCCCAGGCTGGCAGTGCCCTCCTGCTGCCAGGCCAGCCAGGGGCCCACCCTCATCACTGCCACCCTCCCGAGCCGCGGGCACCCTCCATCCGCAGCGCCTGAGCGATGGAGACGAATGACTCTTTGTGTGACAGGAATGAATATCTAACACAGCCTTCCTCACACCTGCTGGACACCCAGCCTGCCTTTTCCTTGCTGGGCAGAGGAGCCTGCATTGATCTGCTGCTAAAAATAGGAGGCTCCAGGTTTGGAGGCAGCAGCACCAGCTCCACCAGCGAGGCTGCGAGAGGTTCCTTGCATCTGTTGCCTGGCAGAGGCCCAAAGTATTTTTCTGGTACAAGGGGCTTTTTTTCATGCATCACCAAAGAACAGAGCTGCTATTTTTAGCTCTAATAAGCATATTTAATTTCCTACTGCCTCATTTCTACTGTTTTGTGCAAGTAGCATTTCTGAGCATGACCCTGGGGAGCAGGTGAGGATCTTGTCTGCATCCCTTGAGCGTCCAAACAGATGCTGTTCCCCTCAGCACCACCAAACACTGGAATTCAATGAAGAACAATGTACTGGGGCTGCTCCAGATGTAACCCCAAGGAGGCTCCCACCTCCACTGGGGACTGTGGGGTCCTCTGGGCAGGGACCCCTCACACCTCCAGTGCCCCTGTTCCTATCTGGGGCAGCAAAGGGCTCCCATTACACAAATAATTAATAAACACAACATCAAAGGTCGCTCCTTGGCATTCCAAAGTGGTCACACTGTGCCATAAGTCCCAAACTGCCTCTGCCATCAGCTCGACAATGTACTGGGGCTGCTCCAGATGTAACCCCAAGGAGGCTCCCACCTCCACTGGGGACTGTGGGGTCCTCTGGGCAGGGACCCCTCACACCTCCAGTGCCCCTGTTCCTATCTGGGGCAGCAAAGGGCTCCCATTACACAAATAATTAATAAACACAACATCAAAGGTCGCTCCTTGGCATTCCAAAGTGGTCACACTGCGCCATAACTCCAAACTGCCTCTGCCATCAGCTCACAGACAGCCCTGGCTGTGCTTCCCCTCAGCACCTTCGATGGAGGGAGATTCAAACAGGCTCCAGGTTCACTTTCCACTGTGGTTGATTTTGGTCACAAGGGGAGGGGATGCAAATGCTGAGCTGTGTTGTGTGAGAAGTAACATAAAAACACTCAGCATGCCCATAACTCACTGCCAATCCAGGCTGCAAACACACCCCTGACAACGAGACAAATAAAGACTCTGGGCTGTTCGTAGGCTGGTCCTTATCCCCCACCGATCAATACGGCTCATCAGGCTTGGGAGGCAATCATGTCCTCTGCTACCCAGCCCAGAACCTCTGGTAATGGCTTGCCAATGCCAAGTAATTATAATGATGTCTTGCAAGTGAAGCAGAAACAACCAAGTAAACGGATTTAAAGCAGTTTAATCGGGCTGAGTTTTCCTTGAGTTCAGTGCCATCCCCATGTTCTGTCAGCCCAGACCTGTGCTTTATGAGATTTACTTGCTAGCTTTCAAGAGCTGCCCGTCCTCTCCAGCCCTCTGCTCGCTGGCCCCACCCTGACCCTGGGAGAACTCCTGTCCATGACAGCAGCAGAGCCCTGGAGCAGCTGCCCAGGGCCAGCCTGGAGTTCCCTCTCTGGGGACATCCCAAACACGCCTGGACGCGTTCCTGTGTCCCCTGCTCCAGGACACCTGGCTGGGCAGGCGTCGGACTGGATGATTCCAGAGGTCCCTTCCAACCCCCTCCTGTGATTCTGGAGCCCACGTGACACTGTCATTTTCCCCAGCTGTTTTCCTGTCCCCCACCCCTCCTGGCTGCAGTTGGGCACTGTCCCCATCCCCAGACATCTCTGGCACAACTTGGGAGACAAGCCCAGCTCCTGCAGGCTGAGAACTCTGAGTGTGCTGTGGATTACCACCTGGCAGGGCTTAAATGTTTACTGCAGACATAAGCCTCGTCATGGCTGATTTTATTTATCGTTGTGTCTTTCCAAATAAAACAGAAAGTGAACAAATAAACTGGGTGACAGAGCCATAAACCCTGCGCCTGCTCATTCACTTGAAGAAAAGCCTACTTCAACTAATTAACCTGTGCAAGCCTTGTGCTGTTCATAAACAAGGCAGGAATTAATCGAGGCTAGGGCTGGTCCCAGGGAAAAAGCTGTGAAGGAAGGCATGTTGTGGCAGTTTTTTCCTGCTTTTTCTTCCTGTACTGAGCACACCTGGGATGTGCTGGAGCAAAGGTTGTGTGAGTGGAAGCTGCAGCCTCCCCAGCACTGGGGGATTACAGAAACAAGCACCAAAACACGGTTTTTTTGTACAAATCTCCTCACAGATCCAGGGGGAGGATGGATTATACAGTGCAGCAGTCTGAGAGGAGCAGAGAGGAATGAGTAAATAAAGCTGTGGGTCTGTGGGGATGGGGGGATGCCCATGAGAAGTGCAAGTAGCCTCTAGGAAAACCAACAGTGGGAATGCTGGCCGGGGATGTGCTGGGGGCAGGGATGCCCTGCACAGCTGTGGGCAGAAGGTGTCTGAGGCTTTCTGTCACAGCAGCCCTGGCTGCTCACTGGTCACACACACACAAAGGGAGACTTGGCAGAATGGAGAGGGGGCAGAAATACAAATCAAGGAGTAACACTTTTGAAGGAGAAATTATAAATTGCAATTTAATCACATAATCACTTTGACACTCTCAAGCAAGCTAATTTCTTCCCTTGCCTCATTTCACCCACTTGGCAAGATGAATCTTGATGAATAATGTCCTATGAATATTTAATTTTTTGATCAATTTGAATTTTTTTTTTCTCCTATCCCTACCTGCTGGAAAAAATCAGTTCTCTCCTCTTTTCTTCTCACAAACATAGAGAGAACAACAGCTTCTTCTTCAACTTCCATCCTCCCCTGTTTTCATCCTTTTTTCCCTCCCTTTTGGAAGGGTTTTTGGCCAAGCAATGACCATTGTCATCACCCCTTGCCCATCCTCTGCTGCAGGAAACTGGGGCCAATCAGGGAATTTCCTCAAACCAGGACAACTTTGCAGAAAGGCAAGAAAATTGACAATCTCAAATGGTTCTAAAGCAATTGGAATATAGTCATATTGTTTGTGCATGAATTTGGTGACTGAGGAGAGGGGAGTAATGACCTCCCTGTTAATGAGCATTGGCAGCAGCCCCTTCACAGGTGGGTGATGGGTCACCTCCAGCAGCTCCTGTTCCTTTGTGTCCACAGAGAATGGTGTGCAGGCCTCAGCCAGTGCAGGCTTCCAGGAATCAGCTGGATGAGCCTGCAAGGGCTTACCTGAGAGCACCACCCACCTCCTGGAGCAGGAGCGAAGGATAAATGGTCCACCTGAAACCCTGTCTATTTTATTTGCTGTTTTTCTTTGTTTCTCCCAGCTGCTCAATCCATTTCTGCCCCAAACTGCCAAATTAGGAAAGTGTTTTTGAAGTTAACACTGATTTCAAGCTAGAAATCAATGCCCTCGACTTGACACCACAATCCATCCCCAGCACCGCTGCTCCCGATGCTGCAGGGATAACCAGACTGTGCTGAGGCCGTGAGAAATACAGGACTAACTTCAGCCTGAAATCCACTGGATTTGGGGAAAGGGGAGACTTGGATCCCCCCTGCACGCTGCTCCAGCCGGGCTGGTCCAGCAGCCTGGTACAGGAGCACAAGTGCTTCCCTCAAATCCATCGCCCAACATCCAAATCTGCCAACTGCTTGAGCAAGTGAGAGGCTGCAAGAGCGCTTGGCACGTGCTGTTTGTTTAAGCTGTTTATTAGAACTGACAGCCAAATCACCAGAAATCCAGCTGAAGTGCCTCCGTGGGTTTAAGGAAGGAGAAGGAAGCTGAGTGCTGTGGCACAGGGGGTTCATAAGCACTGACACTGCATGAGTGCTGCAGAGGGGGAGGCAGGCCAGGGGAAGCTCTGGGACGCTGCCACCTGCCTCTGCCCCACGTTCCCCTCCCCTCTGTGCAGTTTGCTAGCTCAGACTCCCTCTTTCCCCTGTGCAATGGCATTTCTGGGGGCCTGTCCTTGCCCTGAAGATCTTACAGGGTGAAGTGACCCCAGCAAACGCTCCTGGCCAAACTTCCCGCTGTGCCAAGCACCGGTGGAGCACCCAGGTGTTTCCTCATCTCCTATCTTCCCTCTGTTGTTGTTGCTTCTGTTTTAGAAATAGGCATTCATTTACTAGGTCCTATTCTGTCCTGCATTCAAAGCAGGTTCCCCTGCCCATCATCCCACCTCCAAACATTCCACTGGAATTTCTCAAGCGGCACAGGGAAGTGAGTGACAGTTAACACACAGAGTTCAGTGCCACTGGCCGATCTGAGGGGACACAGCAATATTCCCTCTCTCAGGCACACACTGCAGCTCAGAGTTTCCCTCTGATGGAGATCCTGGGTTGGGCACCAGTGGAAAATGGATTGTTTGGCAAGGGCAGCGTGGGCAGGGAGCCAGGAGCAGTCACTGCAGGCAAGGACAGAGGTTCTGTGTGCTGGGGATGGTGGTGGGGGCTCGGGGCTGCTGCTGCAGGCAGGGCAGAGCAGCGCTGCCTGGAAGGAGCTGCTCAGCCACATCACCTCCTGCCTTCCCACTGCTGCTGTCAGTCCGAGGGCCTGATCTTGTCAGCACATGAAAACAAGCACAAGGGAAACATGTTGTAAAGCAGTTGTGACACAACAGCGTCTGAGGCTGCGGTCATGTTTGATTAGTGTGGTTTGCTGTGAAGCAGGGTGACACGGGCCCTGGTGGCTCAGCCCATCCAGCATCACCGAGGGAACAAAGAACTCTACAGGCTGATGTTCAGTATTTCCACATTTTCCACAGGTATAGAGGCAGCCAGAGTGAGTTTGAACTTACTACAGACCTTGTTTGCAATACAACTACTCTGAAAGGCTCCAGCCCCTGGCCCTGAATCCTGACAGCCATGGACTGGGTGATGATGGTTTCTCCACACTAGAAACAGTCAAAACCACTCACGAGCCTCTAGGAACTATCTGTGATATGCTGGAGAGTAGAACAGCTCAAACAATTCTGCTGTAGAGTGGAGACAGGAGTGCTTGCCCAGGGATGAGCTGGGGAGGAAATGAGGACAAAGGAATGTGGGAATAGCAATGAAGGAATGAAAACAAAGAGAGATGGAGATGTCCGTGGGAGGAAGGGCAAGGTTTAGCTCACAATACAGTTAGACAAACCATTCCTGCTGGAATTCAACACAGCAGCACCCAGCTGTGCACAAGAGGTTTGCCCTTTCCCCTGCCCTCATCGTGTTGCCATTTGCTGTCCTGAAAGGAGAGCAGAGCTGTGCTTTGAGACAGGAGAGGCTTGTGAAAGGTTCCCCTCCCTCTGGCATTTCCCAGCACGAGGCACAGACAGGGAGCTGAAGTTCACAGGCAAGCTGCAGAATTAATACTGCCCTGCACTTAGGAGCTTGTTCACCTGATGGATTTAAAGAGTCAGGGATGGAATTGGAAACAAACCCCCTGGAAAAGCCCCCCATCTCAGCCACTGTCAGAGCCCTCGGGGGTGAGCTGCTGACACTGAGGGTCCATTTCTGTGCACAGCACAGTGGAAAACTCCCCTGGAGCAGGTTCAGGCTGGGTTCTTTGAGGACACTGAGCCTCTGTGCCAACCAGAGCCCCTCTGCCCTGGTTCCCACCACTGCACTCTTCCAGAGCATCTTCAAAATCCGCCTCCCTGGGCCAAGAAAATATCTGACAGAACTGCCAGAGACCAAACCTGCTGTTTGTGAGTGCAGCTGCTGGGAAGCAGTTCCAGGTAAGCCAATGGATTCTGAATTTTGAATAAGTCAGTGATTTGGCACATGAAAGAGGGGAGCCTCATCCCCATATATCCCTCGAATCTCAGGGCCCTCCTGTTCGTGGGCTGGGGACTTCCTGGCTGCTTCCTCCCCTCTATCCACCCCTCTGTCTCCCACTCAGCAGCGTGGATAAAACCCCTGCTCTGCCCTCAGCATCCCATCAAAGGCAGCTGCCCTCTTCCCCTTCTTCTCCACTCATCCCCACAGCTCCTGCCTCTGAGCCCTATCCCATGACCTCTGCCTCTCAGCATCTTTCTCCAAAGCTTATACCAACATGAAGTCAGTCCTGCACAGACTTACAGGGCAAGCCCCACTTCCCCTCCATGAAAATCCCAGCACAATTCTCTCTCTGTGTTATTTTAAAGCCTCATCAGCACAATTCCTGTGCCCTGCTGCTGCACAGAACCACATGTCTCTGAAGTCACCTCAGCTTTGGGGCCGTGGCTGTGCCTCTCCATGCCCGATTACTTCTGTCTAAAGGATTTTTCTTCGTTTGCAGAGGTGCTGCCTAACGAGGGCACCCTGCTAATGGCACTCACTTCATTATGAGCTGGGCTCTGCTTCAGACTGTGGCTCCACACTACCACAGACCTAAATCTCACCACAAGGATTTTAATTTGGGATTAACCGATCGGGAAATTAGATCACTCGTTCCATCAGTCACCCTGCCCTCCCTGCCGCTGCCCGGCTGCAGGAGGAGCAGGCTCCCCAGGGAGTGCCCAAGGCTGCAGAGCTCCTGGAGGGGCTGGACAGCGCTCTCAGCCACAGGGTGGGTGTTCGGGTGTCTGGGCAGGGCCAGCAGCTGGACTGCATGACCCTCGTGGGGCCCTCTCAGCTCAGGGTATTCTGTCATCTTTATGCTTAAGTCAAAATTAGTTTATCATCCTGTTTTACCAATATCCTGCTGTATCCATCACTGTTTGTGTGTGTGGCCCTGCAGATGAACGCACACACGTGCACACACACCTTATCTTGTAAATTCCTGCTTTTTGCTTGCATTTCTAGGGCAACACTTCATGGAAGATGGTACACAATAGAAGCCCCAGCTGGGGAAGCCACGATACAGCCCAGGCCCCAGAAAGTCAATTACTCTGTAGGAGAGGGTGGCGATAACTAAGGAGATTTGCATGGAAATAACTGATCTCCTGATACAAGGGATCACACAGGCTGTCCTGGCAGGCAGTGCTGAAGGGAAAGGTAAAGGCAGGGGATCAAAATACACCAGGCATGGCTGTGGTAATCAGCATTCCTTTGTTCCTTTGTTGGAGAGGCAGGCAGCAGACTGAACTGGTGGAGATCTGGCTGCATTCTTGCAAAAGCCATTCATTGAAAATTAATGACAGCTTAAGTTTTCAATTAAATTTTAATTTAAACTCTGTGACTGGTGCAAATCAGCATAGTGCCACTCGTGTCAGTGATTTATCTTAGCTGAGGATTTGGCCCCACATCTCAAGTGAAAGCTCTGCCAAGATAAGCTGCAGCAGAGATCCTCCGGCCAGACTCCAAAATGTGCTAAAGCCCTGAAAGGTGTAGATGGGCATGAAATCAATGCAGCCTGGGACCTCTGAAAACTCCATTAGGGACCTGGCTGAATCTCCAGAAGTGTCAAGTACTGCCCCAAGTACAAATTTGCCATAAAGAAAAAAATCCTGCAATCCCCAAAGCCTCTTTTCTTTACCAAGTGGGATCTGTTCATGGCTCTGCTCGGGGTCCTGGTGAAGATCACAGAAGCCCAGAGTGGTTTGGTGTGAAGGGGCCTCAAAGCCCACCCAGGCCCAGCCGCTGCCATGGCAGGGACAGCTCCCACTGCCCGGGGGGCTCCAAGCCCTGTCCAGCCTGCCCGGACCCTTCCCAAGGTTCCTTTGCTGAAACACAGCCTGGAACAAGGAGGCAACGCCTGAAGCCGAGTCTCTGTCCTGGAGCAGCCTCTCCTGGGCTCACCTGTGTGCTCCAGGTGGGTCACCTCCCCCTGGCTCCCCCAGCCCTGCCTCAGCACCTGGGCACACGGGGACAGCCGTGGGCACATCCCTGGTGGCCTCACTGGAGAGGAGGGCTCTGATTTGGACTCACTGCCTCTTTGCATCCCATTTAATAGAAGTCTAATACAAAGTCTAATACGTTAGGAAGTTTAACACACTCTTTTTATATGCAGTGTAGTAATTTCTCTATCTGCCATTCTCAAGAAGCTCTTTTTTTTCTCCTTGCTGTTGAAACCTATCTGGATTGAATCATTGAATCATTATTCCTGATGTTCCTCAAGTCTCGTTCTGAATATTTTTAGAATTAAAAAATGAGATTTCTGCTTGGGACTTTTTTGTTTATAAATTTTGCATAAATCTGCAATACAAAAGCAGCAAAAAGAATTCAACTGAATCTTTTCAAGAGCAGGATCAGCTTATGATGTGCAGAGCAAAACCATTGGGTTTAACAGGCTGAGGGGCTGGAAGAGAATGAAGCAATTAAGGGGAAGGAGGGATGTGGAAATGAGGGTCACTTGCACTTTGCAGAAAACCAGACCAGCACTGAGTTATCTCTTAAGCTGTGAGGGCTTGGAAAATCCAAGGACAGCAAGGCAAAGGCTCTCTTGACGTGGCTGCTTACATTTTGACTGGCAGTAACACTGAGGGTGAGGAAAGAAACACGTGCCACTGCAGCTTCAGCCCTGAACATTCACAGTTTTGTGCACTAGGCTGGAATAGGCAGCTCCAACTCACCTGGTGATGACTGGGCTGCACTAAACGGAGGGAGAGCAGCAGTTCAGGAGAGGTGAGTCAGCCTCCCCACCCCAGCACCAACAGTGACTGGACAAGTTGGACTCACACCCACAGACTCAATAACATTAATAGAGCACCTTGAAGTGCGAGGCTGGGATGAGTGGAATTGGTTGGGCTCATTTGCACTGCTTGGAGAAAACACTGAGTGGGTTTGTTCTCAGTGATGCCTGGGAAACTTCAGAGCGAGTGGCAGTGATGGATGGCCTGGAGGAGCAGAGCAGGCAGAGCCAGAGCCCCACAGCTGGGTGGGAGATGGGAGCTGGCAGCAGGGAAGGCTGCTCTCAGTGCCACCTCCTCCTCCTGGGGCTCTGCCCAAGGCCAGGCTGGCCAGGGCTGGGAGCACCTGGGACA